TGTGTGTGTGTGTGTGTGTGTGTGTGTATAGGGAGGGTGTTGATGTCTTTTTACCTTATCTGTAATTGATGATATGATACAGTACATTGGCACTTAGGGTCAGCTATAATAATGAGGATGGTTGGGTGAAAGTTCAGATTTAACAGCTCTTTTTATTCTTTGTGGCTGGGGAAACTTTGTGGCTGGGAAAGAGTTGTTTTAGTATTTTTTCTTCCATAACATTTAAATTGTATTATATATGTAAGAATACTATAACTATAACTAATATATATATAATATAAATATGATATTTGTTTGTATCTGGTGTACCTGTTGGGTGCAACGGGTGCACACATCCATACAAGTGCACATGACCTCAATATTGGTGCACAAAACAAAACAAACTCTGGTCATCGATGGAAAATCTTAGAGGGAACACTGATGTCCAACCCAGTGAAATTGGTGCATGAGAATCATTGCTTCAGAGCTGGTGACATTAACTACAATGACAGTGCTGATGTTAGTGCAGCAATCTTTCCACTTGATGTGAAGGGTCTTTAGGAGGTATCATCGATGGTACCTCTCCAGACTCTTGAGGTGCTGTCAATAGGTCATTCAGGTTTTACATCCATAAAGGAGGGTAGAAATAACAATTGTCTTCTGGACCTGAATCTGTGTGTCTTATCATAGGTCACAGTCCTGAAAACATGTCAAAGCAATTTCCCAAAGGAAGCACTTGTACACTGGATCCTGTGCTGGATCTCACTGTCAATTTTTGCATGTTGAGAAAGTTGGCTACTGAGGTAGCAGAAGTGCCTGACCATCTCCAAAGTCTGTCCCATGATGGTGGTTTGTGGTGAGTCATGTGCAAGGACTAAAACAGGCTGATGGAGCACTTTAGTCTTCTAAATATGGAGTGAGGGTCCCAGGCTTTGATAAACTTGTGCAAAAAACTCTAGTGAGGACTGAAGGTCATTCTCAGGAGGCATGAGGATGGCACAGTCATCTGCATATTGAAGATCAGTACTGATTGCCCTATGGACTTTAGTCTTTGAGTGGAGACATAGAAGATTCAAAAGCTGCAAATCCATTTTGCAGTGAATGTCCACTGGGAAGGCGGTCTTTAACAAGGAACCAAATGACTGCTAAATAGATGGAGATCATGGCTGGGGCGATAATGTATCCTTGTTTAACCATAGTTTTGATGACAAAAGGGTTAATCTCCAGGACAATACAGAGAATGGTGGCAGTCTTCTGATCATGTAGAGGTGTTTGGATCTTAATTAATTTTGGAATGCTGCCAAATCTGGCCAGCATCTTCCACAGGCCTTTGTCAGATCCTGATTTTGCTACCAAGGCAGTAAATAATAGGTTAGTGATAGTATTGTTTCCCTAAAATTACTTGAATTTTCATTATCCAGGGACCCACACCAGCAAATATCCTTTAGGACTGCATTCATTTTTACTTTCTTGCCAGGAATCAATAGGCTTAAGTGCATTCTGGTTGTAGTAATAACAGACATTTCTATTTAAGCACATACCTGATACTTTCACCAAAGGGTAGGTCTACACAGAATTCTCAGACACACCATATCCCAAATACAGGTCTAGCTTCCATCCAGTCTAACCTGAATATGATGACACTTATTTGTCTGGGTAAGTAAGGAGTTTTGTGTTCTAGTTTGTCATTAAAGCAGAAAGAAAACCCTTTTCATATAGGATCCCAAACCATCACATTGCAGTAATTTTGGAAGTAGGTCACCAGATTCCTTCACAGGAAAAGGTACTTAAGCTTAATCCAGGCAAGTCTCAATTGTTAGTAGCAGCAAATCAGACCAGATATCCCTGGGTATGTCCGATAGATACACAATAACTAAGTAAACATGGACTACATGATACAGTCCATCCAATACACTGGATGTTTTATAGATGAATATATGATCTGAAAAACAGCAAGCTCTGTTCAGACCAAGTATTTTTCCATCAGCACTTACCAACATTGCTATAGAGTGAAGAAGAATCACTTCCCGCCCTTTACAGAAATAGAAGATAGCACAGAGAAGATATTTTTCCTTCTGTGGTTGTTTTGGAGAGAAAAGTTAAGAGTTTTGGTAAGCTGTTACATCTAACTCTGTTAAAAGGGACTTTGATCTACAGTATGTCAACATTGTGCAGAAGGCTTGTGCAAACTTCAAATATATCTTTGCTATTTTAGTCATCATCAGTGTTATTATTGATAAACATGTTTAGGCAGTATGTAAAGAGCAGTGTAGCAAAGTATCTGTATATATAGTCTAGCTGTCATATATTTACAGCACATACATCATTATCTGAGCTAAAGCACAGTGAATTTGTTCTCTTATAGATCCTCCATCTTAAATAAGGAAACTGGCATGTGAATGTTTGCAGGCTGATCAGCGTTAGTATATATATTGCTCTGCTACTACCACTGATGTTTCCCTTTGCATGCTATAACTATATAGCAAGCAACCATTTTTATATTTGATCTCTACAGTTCTTATGAAGATGAATGAGCAAAAGGTGTCCAATGATTGCTCTGCCCTGCAGTGAGTAGGAGACACTAGCAGATTCTTCTCTTGTTAGTGTCAACTGGATGTAGATTATATTTATTCATGCATGTAATATTTTATATAATGAGAACACAAGAACAAAAGAGAGTGAACCAGAAGAATCTCTACTTGTAACTTCATACACCTACTGACTGTCGCCCTCCCTGTCGGCCCAGCTGTCGTTTCTTTCTTTCTTTCTTTTTATTTTCAGAAGGCCCAAATTAACCTGTTCTAAAATGTGCTGAACATTTGTAGTCCTTAGTGAGTTCAATGCGCTTTTGAAAATCAAGTAAAAAAAATCTACTCCTCATGTGTAAATAGGGGATAAATTGTGTATTCTCATCCAGTGATCTGTATGAGATAAATGTTTACGAACAACCTATTGTTGCATAATACCTTTAAAAAGATGACATCTTCAGTTTTTGTTCTAATTCTAAGTATTGTTTAACGTTAGTCGAAAGAGATGGCAAAGCCTTAACTATTTTTGGACTATTTCTAAGGAGTCTATGATAGCAGTGACCATAAATTCCCTTGTGTACAGGCAGTCCCTGGGTTACATACAAGATAGGGACTGTAGGTTTGTTCTTAAATTGAATTTGTATGTAAGTCGGAACTGGCGTCCAGATTCAGCCGCTGCTGAAACTGACCAGCGGCTGACTACAGGAAGCAAAGCCTTAACTATTTTTGGACTATTTCTAAGGAGTCTATGATAGCAGTGACCATAAATTCCCTTGTGTACAGGCAGTCCCTGGGTTACATACAAGATAGGGACTGTAGGTTTGTTCTTAAATTGAATTTGTATGTAAGTCGGAACTGGCGTCCAGATTCAGCCGCTGCTGAAACTGACCAGCGGCTGACTACAGGAAGCCCGAGGCAGAGTTGCTCTGCCCTGGGTTTCTTGGAATCAGCCGCTGGTCAGTTTCAGCAGCAGCTGACTTGGGGACGCCTGGTGTTCTTACCTTGAATCTGTATGTAAGTGGAACTGGTGTCCAGATTCAGCGGCTGTTGAAACTGATCAGTTTCAGCAGCGGCTGATGCCAGTTCCGACTTACACACAGATTCAACTTAAGAACAAACCTACAGTCCCTATCTTGTACGTAACCCGGGGACTGCCTGTATATGAAAAACTGGAGGATAAAAAATTGTGTCTGATTTGGTAAAACATGGTTACCAATGGTGAATAGTGGTATTTTAATTTGCCCAATTGTATAGCTATTTCCATGTTTAAAGATCTTTAAAAATGTTAATTAACTAAACTAGGGCCCTACTAAACACATGGCCAGAAAAAATGCACCACAGATTGTAAACTCTGGTCTCCCTCCTTGAAATGTTGTCTTTTGTGTGCTTTTACCCAGCATTTCTCAAACTGAAGGTCCTGGCCCAAAAGAGAGTTGCGGGGCTGGGGTTCACAAGGTTATTTTAGAGAGAGATATGGTATCATCAGCCTTACGGGGGGGTTCCCCCCCCAGCAGGCCGAGGGAGACGCGGAGCAGCTTTTCTCGCCCCGGAGGACGTGGGCGGCGGGACCGCGGCGCATCTGGGCATCCCGCCACTCCCGTTCTCCGGGGCGAGAAAAGCCCCATTCGTAACTGCATGAGTTATATACATACATGAGTCACTCTGTGTATCTTTCTTCCACCAAACAAGACTACAATAATTAATCTTGATCTGATGTTCATATTTGAAAGCAGCAGACTGTACAAAGCTATGATTATAGGCATACGGGTCATATTCCACCTTGAATAGTTTGGCTAGTCCTGTTGTTCTGGATAACATCTTCAGAAAGCTTTTCATATAGGCTATGGCTACACTACCTTTTTTTGCAGAAGAAGATATGCAAATCGTGCTCACATTTGCATATCTTCTTCCGATTCTTTTTGTGGAAGAGGTTTTGCTGAAAAAAAGCCCTGTGTAGATGGGGCCATTTGTCAGAAAAAAACTCCCTCTTTTGCAAGATCCTGTAAACCTCGATTTTTGAGGAATAAGGGATCTTTCGAAAGAGGGGTTTTTTTCCTGACAAATGGCCCCGTCTACATGGGGCTTTTGATTGGCAAAACGTCTTCCGCAAGAAAAATCAGAAGAAGATAAGCAAATGCGAGCACAATTTGCATATCCTCTTCGGCAAAAAAATGGCAGTGTAGCTGTAGCCATAATGATAACACTCATATGGTGTTTCACATGTTCAGAATAATATCCACATATCAGCTAATTAATCCTCACAACCCTGGGGGAGGTGAGTTGGAATGTATTAACACCAAGGGGTTAAAGTAAGGGAGAGTTGGAGGGAAGGAAAGCAAAGCTCCAGCTCTTTGGATAAAAGGCATGGGGAACTCCCTCTCTAGTTTGTATAAGCACTGCTCCCTCCCCACTTCCCTTCCTCATTCATTGTTGCAGTGGGGATTCTACCTCCTATTTCAGTCTTCTTTAACTCCTATTATCCCTGTTTTTCAGAGGAAGAAGCCAACTGAGAGATGAAGAGAATTGCCCATGGCCACTCAGTGAATCAGTGGCACTAACGGGCTTACAACTCAGGACTCTCATCCCTGTTCTCATTGCATTGCACGCATCTCAGTGTGTAGGTGGCTAAGGTGCAGGTACCAAATGTGAGTTGCACTGGATTAGCAACAATGATTTAATCATTTTTGGGACTCGGTTACATCCTATATATCAACCAATGGTAAGCCAGTCAAAATATATGTAAAGAATAAATCTACGTATGCCTTTTAAAATATAGATGATTACTTTAAAGAGAGTTTTGCATTCTGAGTACAAAAATATACTGGACTTTGTTTACATACAAAGACTTCTGTGGATATACAATGTGTCCTTTTAAATTTCAAAAGCAAGTTCTATAAAAACAAACTGTCCTCAATAATGTGTTCATACTGGGGCTCTTAGTGGTTAACTTTTGGACCTGAATATAAAAAGGCCAGGTTTTATGCTCTTATCAAAGAAGTATAAATGCTTTTCTACTTCTCGTGAAACATTGTGTGCTAACATCTACCCTTTCTCCACTGCTTGAAGTATCTCCTGGTGGCTAATGCATGAACATACAATATAAGTGTGAGTAAGGTAGAATATTGATTGGATGTATCCTGAAATAGCTGCCCTGCGTCTACACAGTGCGTTATTTTGCCAGCCTGGTAAATCTCGTTGCACGAGGGATAAGGGATGGCTCGAAATAACGCATTGTTTTGAAATTTGGCGCTGTGTAGATGCACCAAATGTCAAAATACACTATTTCAAAATAGTTTTGAAGTAAGATATGCAAGTTGCGTATCTTATTTCAAGGTAAGGGTGCTGTGTAGATGCACCCATAGTGTTAAATTCACCCCTGTTCAGAAGGCCAGTTAAGTAATCAAAATAGGGCCTTGTGCTGCTAATAATTACTGACTAATAGGCTTTTGGATTAAGCTCTATAGCAGGGGTACAGAACCTGTTTTGGGTTGGTGGTCTCTTATCCACAGAAAAATCAGTCAGGGGCTACACACAAGTGAAAAGCAAAAAAACAGAAAAACCCCAACCAAACCCTCACTGGCATGGCCCCTGACTAAGAAGGAGAAAAGACACTTCCCACATTCCCCTCACACACCAGAGCCTAGGGGTAGCCAGTTTAGTAGATTTTGTCTGCTCCAGCCCCGCAAGGGGACAGCAGGGGAGCTGGAGTGCTAGAGAGGGCTCCCCAGTGCTGGGGGGGGGGAGGCCTGAGCCTCGAGGGCTGGATCCAGGCAAGCAGACAGCTGCATCTGGCCCCCAGGCCTTAGGTTCCCCAGCCCTGCTCTATAGCTTCAATCCAGAATACTGCTTAAACACATGGGCTATGTCTACACTATGTGCTTATTTCAAAATAATAATCCCCAAAATAATTATTTCAAAATTGTGTATCCACACTGAATATCTCCAGTGAAATAGTGCAGATTTCTATCGAAAAAGCGTGTTCACACTGATTGGAGCTTGAATTGCATTTAAAGCCCCACCGGGAAGCACTCTGGGCAGGGCATCAGGACAGCAGTCACTTCCTGTAGCTGCTGCCTGCGGCTATCTGAGGCTTGCGTTTAAAGGGGCTCCTGTCTACCACCGTGTTACAGACCCTTCGCCATTGCCTACCTCCTTGAGGGACAGAAAACTCACACTGTGTGCTCTGGTTGCCCTTGTGGATGCTACAGCACTTCCACTACGGAGCTGGGCCTGCTGCAAAGCAGTGTCAGGCGCTTAGATCTCCTGCTGCAACTCCTGGCATAGTTTATGCAGGCTGACCAGCTCATAATGGGGCACCTCCTTACCCCAGCCCGGGTGCTCCTCATGCCCCACACCCCTTCCATTCTCCCCTGCACACCGTGCACTGCCACTTTTGACACCAGCACACCAGTTCTGACTGGTGGGACCACATCATCATGGAGTGGTGGGATGACCAGCAGTGGCTCCAGAACTTCTGCATGCAGGAGGACAACTTGGAGCTCTGCGAGTGGCTCACCCCACCCTGCAGCAACAGGACACTTGCAAGTGACCCACCATTCCCCTTCAGAAGCATGTTTCCATCACCCTCTGGAAGCTCACCACACCGGACCCATTGGGAACCAGTTCAGCATGGAGAGAGCAAGGAGGTTTAACGGTAATTCGAATTAGGAGCTTTAATTCGAACTACCTAGTCCATTCCACGTGTAGCCACGGGCAGGTAGTTCGAGCTACCGGGCATTTAAAAATGTCACCCACCCGGGAACATGCAAATGAAGCCCAGGATAGTTAAATCCTGGGCTTCATTTGCAAGTTCGAATGCCTATATTAGCCACCCTAGTTTGAACTAGGGTGGCAGTGTAGACATACCCGCATAGAAAAAAATGATCAAAGAAACAACACCTTATCACTCAGAATGAAAACTTTTCACAAAGTGAGCACTTCAGATCTGACCCATCAGTCCTCATCCTCAAAGGAAACCTGCATAACATCTTCAAAAGACGAGGCTGAGAACGTGCATTCATAACTCTGCTAGACACTAAAAATTATGGTCTCAACAGAGACTGGTTTTATGGTTCATTGCAGAAATTTGAAATCTACTAATCCGTCTTTATCCTATAAATATAGAGGTGTTCATTGCCAATGTTAAGTAGTTTCTTGCAACATGTGTTGTTAACCCCCATGCTTAACAATCTGCACCCCCTCCCACCCTGTATTTAGCTGTGACGCTTGCATTGCATTTTCTAAACCAGAAGACAAGCTCCGTGAAACTCAAAAGCTTGCTCTTTCATCAACAGAAGTTGGTCCATTAATTGATACTGCTTTATCTACCTTTATCTCCCTAATTGTAAATCAAAAGTGGTTTTCAAACCTTATTTAAAGCTCTCACATTTCCAAACCAACTTATTCACCACACAATCTTTGTCATCCTGGCTAAAGAATAATTTTCTTTTGAAATTTATTTATCTTACCACACACCATCCACTTGCCACTGAAATCAATCCAGTAATTTATTTTTCTGATAGGGGAGTTACTGAACTCAGACCTCAATTGTAACCTGAGTTATATTTTGTTTCCTTTGTGGTTAAAGCTTTTCCTCCTGCACACATTTATAATATCATGCAACAGATTACGATAATGATTCTTAAATGGACAAAAGGAATCTATTCAACTACTTATAATTAGCACAAAGCTTCCAACAATTGCATGGATTTTGGCACTTGATACATTTTCAGATCTCTTTCATTAGGTCTGTTCTAGAACTGTGCTAACTTTAAAGTGGCAAGAGGAAATCATAGTGATTTCAGTTTGGAAAGAACATCCCCAAAAGGTTGTATCACCTCACGGTGCTTATTTTTATAATTCATGCTGTGGTGGCAGTGAGAAAAGGATCAGATTATTTTGAGGAAGAGGCTCTTATGCTATTTACCTATTGCTATTTATAGCCTCTAGGGCTACGTCCACACTGTGAGTTTTTGCGGCAGAAAATATGCTAATCATGGACTCATTAGCATAAGTTGTGATACCTTTAGCATATTTTCTGCTGCTTCTTTTTGTGCAAGGGATTTTTGCATAAAAAGAAGCAGTGTAGCCACTTCCATTTTGCACAAAAAAACCCTGTTTTGCGCAAGCTCTTTATGCCTCTTCCGGAGGAGAGATCTTGCGCAAAACAAGGCATTTGCAGAAAACGGAAGCGGCTACACTCCTCCTTTTTGCACAAAAACCTCTTGCGCAAAAATAAAAGGCAGAAAATATGCTAATGATATTGTGATTTAATGCTAATGAGTTCTTCATTGGCATATTTTCTGCCACAAAAACTCATAGGGTAGACGTAGCCTAGGACTACAGTGTTTGTGCTTTAAGACAAAAAGAAAATATAGAAGATTGTGAGAAACATTCTCCCATTTTTGGCATTTTTGTGATGTTAGTTAATGCTTGTAGGTTGCAACCCTTATGTAGTTACTTCTCTCCACTGTGAAAAACTGACAATTTATTTCTACCTTTTGTTTCCTATCTTTTTACCAGTAACTAATCCATGAGAGGATCTTCCCCCCTTATCCCATGACAGCTTACTTTGCTTAAGAGCCTTTGTTGTGGCACCTAATCAAAGATGTTCTGAAAATCTAAGTACACTGTATCCACTGGATCACTGTTGTCTACACATATTTTGGCTCTTACAAAAAATTCTAATAGATTGGTGAGGTATGACTTCCCTTTACAAAACTCATTGATTTTTCCCCAACATGTTGGGTTCATTTATGTGTCTGATAATACTGTTCTTTACTCTATTTTCAACTAATTTGTCTGGTATTGAAGTTAGACTCACCAGTGTGTAATTTTCATGATCACCTCTGGAGCCCTTATTTAAAAAATTGGCATTGCATTAGCTACCTAGACATTTTGTACAGAGTATAATTTAAGTGATAGGTTACACATTCCACTTAGTAGGTCTTTAATTTCATATTTGAGGTCTTTTAGAACTCTTGGAGGGAATACCATCTGGTCATGATGACTTATTACTGTTTAATTTATCCATTTGTTAAACAAGCAATGGAACAGAAAGCCCAACAGATTGCAAAGAAAGTGACCTATTTTGTGCATTGAAGACAAAAACATAGCAAAATGTGGGTTACTCTTATAGCTAGTGGAATAAGATGAATATTTCTGAATTATTTTTCCATTGAGCATGAGATAAATTGTATGTGACTATTTTTCCATTATTTCACACACACTAATTTTTATATCGCAATTATCCCAGATCTGCAATACAAAAGACAAACCAGAAAAGGTCATATGCAGTTCTTAATGACCAGACATGGGCCTTATGTTTGGACAAACAGAATTCATCATGCGTATGTGTAAATTAATGTGCAATGTCAGCAGCCCCCGGGAAAGAACTAGTATCATACCTCAAGCTGTTTCAGACCGTTGCCTACGGGCACAACTTATTCAATCATTCATGAAGTAACACAAAGCGATTCCTCTACCCAGAGCAGGCTGTACTCTTCAGAGCTCTTTGCCCTTGCCTCTGTCAGCCCCATTAGAAGACACACCCATTTCTCATATCCCCCACTGAGTCATGTGACAAACAGGCTGCTCTGTTCTGACAATTGTTTATACATTTTGCTTGCTTAGGAATTTATCATGGAAAGTAGGTTAAGTTATTTTTATTAAAGAATGTTATAAACTGGTGCAAGGGAAGCAGACAGGAAAGAAGAGAAAGACTAAATTAGTCCAATCAAAAAAGCTACATTGATGTAATTCCAGGATTATGTTAAAATCATATTTGGTAAAAAGAGAAGCTGTGGAGACAGAAATCAATGTTAAAATTGGTGAGTTGGATATTAGTCCTAATGGGAGGGAGGAGAATGAAGGGATGACCTATACTGCCTATTTACCCCTGCCTCCTCATTTGGGGGTCCTTAAAAAGGAGACTGTGAAAAAACATGGCAGCTGGCCTGTCGGCTTCACACCCCAGTTCAGTTCTTTGCATTCAGCTCCGCATTGCACTGCAGCTTAGCTGATCTCATCTTCCCCAACCTCCAGACGTAAGAACAGATGGACGCTATTGGAGTGAGCTTCATCATCATGCCTGACACTCCTGCTGTTCCCTGGGACACTGAGACTTTATTATCGTGGTCCTGAGAGGTGTCCTGACTCGACCAATACAGAGAGAGGGACTCAAATGACATCACCATCGCTGGTGGCATTAGCTGAATCCCACACACCACCTGGGATGTGAGGTATAGCTGCTCTCTCTTTTCCTCTTTGTGTTCTTTTTGCCTTTGTGTTCTTTTTCTTCCCCACTTTATTTCTTTTCTTTCTCGTCTTTTCCCTTCTTTCTAACAGGAGTTTCTTAGCCAGCTGCAATAGTATATTCTGCAATGCTGCTGTGAGCCTATGACCAAAAAAAAGGCAGCTAGGTGTAATGCCCTAAGTAGCCTGCTGCTGGTATGAGTTTGTCAGGTCTGAGAGAAGTTACAAGACTGCATGCTGGGCCTATATTTTTCCAGGAGTGAGGTTGCAAATGTTAGTTTGCTCCAGAGACAAAAGTAGAACATTTTCTATTTTCCATATTCTTTACTCTCCCTTTGTGTACATGTCTGTCTTCCAGATTGTAATTCCGACCGACAGGGGGAGTCCATATAGAATTATTATTCCTTTGGTGTTGATAGGGGGGATCTGGTAGGTCGGATTGATGTTCATTGGTGGTTTGGAAATATTCTCGGAGGCAGAGGTGGCAAAAAAAAAGCCTCAAGGTCACCACAAAATTGTATCCAGATTGTGGGAGACGTGGGGCAGAAAGAGAGACCCCGGGACAAGACAGACTCTCTGCTGGATTGAGTTTGTAGCTGGAGAGGTACATATTTGTGTTGTTTTGTCTTGCTTTCTTCAGGACAGGACTTAAAAAAAACAAAAAAACACTAGCCCATTTGACCCAGCTTACCATTTTTAATAGCATCTAAGATCTTGTCAAACTAGGGGGGGGCTTTTCCTTTTAAAACTGACTTGAACCGCAACAGCATTGACAGTTCCAGCCCATCTCATTTAACTTCTTTTCTTGTCCTTTTGGGTACAGTTATCACATCTTTAATGCCATCTAAAATAGGGGGAAGAAGTTCCTTCTCAAATGCTCTCCAGCTAAAAGGAAAGGGAACAGGAAAGGTTAATAAAATAAAATTAAAAAAACCCTGATTTAATACTTCGTATTTTACTGTAAATAAAAAAAAAATACTTCTTTCCTGTATCTTTAATCAAAGGCTCAGAAGATACTAAATGGGATGTTTGCCATAGTACAAAGGAGGCTGAGGTCTCCATAAACCAAACTCTGAACTTTGTTTAAGATCATGTATTGGAGACCTTTGGCTTGTATATTCCGTCTAAATTAACACAACAAATCTTAGCCCTTTCTTGCCCGTTTCACCTTTTGTCGCTGTGTGATTGTGTGCACATACCAGGCTGGTATATGGGGCCTGCTTATCTAATATCTTTTATACTTTGTATTGCCATGTACATTTGTGCACAGTGTTAGCTATTTATTACCAACTAGGGTTTTAGTAATGGTCATATCTAGTCAGATATTAAAGAGACCTCAGACTCGGTCAGCTTGATTGAATTTAATAATTAATTAGTTAATTAGCACATAACAGAAAGAGTATAATTACTGCAGTCTGTGAGAACCAATCCTGCAGTCAGTGACAGGTAGCTTGTACTCTTTAGTTCTAAATTTGGCTGAGGGCTTAATGTTTTTATAGAGGAGCTATGTACAAGTTAATACCTAGTATTTCCTCCTTTTCACAGACAGACATATTTTTAGCATATTTTCCAGTAAATTTCTACACAATCAGACATCTATTATTGACTTATACCTTTTCAGTACGTAAATGTCACTAATAAAAGCTTTTGTAATTGTTGTTAGTATAATACTTTGCCAAAATGCACCTCTTAAGCTGATAAGTTCTAGCAGCCCAGCAAGTTCTCTTTTTAGCACGATTCCCAAAGTATTATGGAAAACCTGACTCATAGGAAAGCTATAGACTTTATAAAAATCTGGTTCATAAGTCAATAAAAGAGGGTTTACAATACTAACATGATCAAAATGATAGCATTTAGCCCCACTTTGCATAGATATAAATGACAATACAAAGTGTAAGGCAGTGGAAAATCAGTTCCACAGCATTCTCCAGATAGGATACTGAATACAACTATGGTTAGGAAAATTGTTTGTATGGAAACATCTGAAATGGCCTGTCCATGGTTTGCATTTGCCTAACCAAAGCTGACCATTGCTTTTTTCCATTTGGCAAACATTTGCATCAAAATGCTATGAGGAATGTAACCATACTGAAATATTGCTGTGTAAAACACCACACACCGCAGCCCTACTCTCAGCATGGAATTAGTGTGGCAAGCATGCCAGGTAGATTGGAAAGCAGTTAGTACGGAATAGCATGCTGTTCAGGACGACAGGCCAAGACTTGGGACTAAGATGCTTCCCAGTGAGGACAGTCAAGATTTCAATGTTACAGGAATCTATCTCCAGATCAAAGTGAGATATTGGTTTTAATGTGCTGATAATTCATACATGATGAACATGTGAAATACACATAGAATAGAATTATAGAATACTAGAACTAGAAGGGACCATGAGAGTTCATCAAGTCCAGTCCCCTGCCTTCATTACAGGACTAAGCACCATCTAGATCATGCCTGATAGATGTCTAGCCAAACTTCTAAGAAGTATCTCTAGTGATGGAGGTTCCACAAACTCCCAGCAATTTATTCCAGTGCTTAACCACTCTGATAGTTAAGACGTTTTCCCTAATGTCCAATCTAAATCTCCTTTGCTGCAATTTAAACCCATTGCTTCTTGTCCTATCATCAGAGGCCAAGTGACATGGAAGACACTGTTGCAAAACTTGCCTTTTTTTCTTGGAAGGTCAAGGTGTCAATGTCCCGCTATTTTCAACATCTTAAAGAACTGTAGAAACATCGTAATGTCAGTGTGGCTGAGATTAGAATATACATGCAAGAACTTGCACCAGAATTTTCTGTCAGATTTCAAGATTTCCAACGTTCTAGCTCAATGTTTTCCTTTCTAATCAAACCAGACAACTTTGATACCAGCAACACAGATTTGACAGTGTTTCAATTATTACCTATCACCTTATTATCTTCCAGTTGATGGCAGATGAATGCCTTAAATATATGCTCCATTATCTTTTCTGGCATAGAAGTTAAACTGATTGGTCTATAGTTTCCCGGATTGTTCTTATTTCCCTTTTTATAGATGGCACTATATTTGCCCTTTTCTAGTCCTCTGGAATCTCTCTCAACTTCCATGACTTTTCAAAGATGATTGTTAAAGGCTCAGATGCCTCCTCTGTCAGCTCCTTGAGTATTCTAGAATGCATTTCATTGGGTCTTGGTGACTTAAAGACATCTAACTTTTCTAAGTAATTTTTAACTTGTTCTTTTTTATTTTAACTTCTAAACCTTCCTGGTTTCCACTAGCATTCACTATTTTAGGCATCCTGTCACCATCAATTTTCTTGACAAAAGCTGAAACAAAGAAGTCGTTAATCACCTCTGCCATTTCCAAGTTTCCTGTTATTGTTTCTCCCTCTTCACTGAGCAATGGGCCTTCCCAATCCTTGGTCATCCTCTTGCTTCTAGTATAGCAAATATAGAATGTTTTCTTGTACCCTTTAAATCTCTAGCTAGATTGAGCTCATTTTGTGCCTTCACCTTTCTAATCTTGTCCCTGCATCCTTGCAACTCCTTTTTGATTTTTAGATCATGTAAGATCTTCTGGTTAAGCCAAAATGGTCTCCTACCGTACTTTCTATCTTTTCTACATAGTGGAATTTGTTTTTTCTCTTAGTCTTGCTTCCCATGGCACTTTACCTACCATTTCTCTGACTATACTAAAATCAGCCTTCCTGAAATCCATTATCTCTATTTTGCTGTTCTCCCTTCTACCATTCCTTAGAATCATGAACTCTATGATTGCATTATCACTTCTACCTAAGCTGCCTTCCACTTTCAAATTCTCAACCAGTTTCTCCCTGTTTTTTAAATTCAAATCTAGAACAGCTTCCCCCCAGTAGCTTTCACAACCTTCTGAAATAAAAAATTGTCTCTAATGTAGTCCAATAACTTACTGGATAATCTGTGCCCTGCTTTATTAGTTTCCCAACAGATATCTGAATAGTTGAAGTCCCCCTTCACCACCAAATCCTGTGCTCTGGATGATTTTGTTAGTTGTTTAAAAAAAGCCTCATCCACCTCTTCTGCCTGGGTAGGTGGTCTGAAGTAGACACCTAGCATGACATCACCTTTGTTTTTTACCCCTTTTAATCTAACCCTGAGACTTTGATCAAGTCTGTGTCCTACGTCCATCTCCACCTCAGTCCAAGTATATACATTTTTATATATAAGGCAACATCTTGATATATAAGGGTAGGACACATGTCTTGGAGGCCAAATTTAGGTTGCTAGGAAAGAGACTGAAATCCAGGACCTCTATGGTGGCATTCTCGTAAATGCTTCCAGTTCCACACGCAGGGCCAGGTAGGCAGGCAGAGCTTCAGAGTCTCAGGGTATGTCTACACTACCCTGCTAGTTCGAACTAGCGGGGTAATGTAGGCATACCGCACTTGCAAATGAAGCCCGAGATTTGAATTTCCCGGGCTTCATTTGCATAAGCGGGGCTCCACCATTTTTAAATCCCTGCTCGTTCGAACCCTGTGCCGCGCGGCTACACGCGGCACGAACTAGGTAGTTCGAACTAGGCTTCCTAGTTCGAACTATCGTTACTCCTTGTAACGGTACGAGTAACTCCTCGTAATGTGGAATGAGGAGTAACGGTAGTTCAAACTAGGAAGCCTAGTTCGAACTACCTAGTTCATGCCGCGTGTAGCCGTGCGGCACAGGGTTCGAACGAGCGGGGATTTAAAAATGGCGGAGCCCCGCTTATGCAAATGAAGCCCGG